GGCCCTGCGGGGCCTCCGAACCAACAAGTACCCTTGCGGGTCACACACACGCTAGGGCCGGCAAGCACTTAGACAGGCACGCAGACCAGCTGAATGGTTTCCACCTTTGCGGTAACAGATGCAGATCCCATGGCTAGATCCCTAGACCTTACCTCGCCCATGTACAATACTAGGTGGACCACTGTGTGTTTTGAACCCATGACCTGTGTTTCAGAGTCGACTGTTGTCTATCTGAGGTCTGTGTAGTTGTCGGGTCTTGAACTGTAGATCTGTCGAGTAGGGGTCATAGTTGTGTAGGGGTCATAGTTTTTGCAACTTTGAAAGGTCAAGGTCGTAGCTGCTACAGTCCTGAAAGGTCAAGGTTGTAGCTGCTACAGTCCTGAAAGGCCAAGTCCATAGACTTCCGGAAGGTTCGGAACTGGCCTTTCGAGTGTTGCCGACGTTAGACCAGAGGCAAGTGGGCAAGTGGGTAGTCCAACTTTGCTTCGTTAGTGGTACCCAGTCCCAGTCTCATTTTGTCTAGTCAGCAAGTACCATGTGGGACTGTGTGCACAATGGGCCCGGTGGAAAAGGGCAGACCAGCGACCAACAGAAGTATAAATCAAGAGGCAGCGTCCAGCCATTCATTAATTTTTGTGTGAGCCATGCGGAAGCGCTGCCCAGGTGTCTTGTGCGAGGTGGTCTGCAGATGCCCGAAGCTGAAGTGGGTCGAGGAGATAGAGCAGCCATTGCTGCTTGTAGGGAGTTGTAGCCGACGGCCATAGCTGCCATAGCTAGCGATAGGTGGTAGTGAGAGTGTGTGTATGTGTGTGTGTGTGGGATGTCTAGGGAGATGTAGTGTGGAGTGCATGTGATCAGTTGTGTGAATATAGTGTCGGTGGTGAGAGGTGTAGGCGCTCAGGCGCCATAGCCAGTTTGAATAGAGTTTGCATCTGAACTGTGTTCGAGGCCTTGTTATCTCTGAGCTTTGTGTGGGCGCCTGGCGCCAATGTTGATTTGCCATCTGTTTGTATGCGTGCGAAGTGAGAAGAAAACGAGTCTGATTTCATTGGTATCGGAGCAGGTTCCCGCTATTCCACGCGCCATCGCCGCTGTCAACGGGAAGGAGGCACGCGCCAGTTGGGCGCCATAGCAGAAGTGCGCCATCGAACAAGAGCGCCAGTTGGGTGCCATAGCAGAAGCGCGCCAGTTGGGCGCCATAGTCAGTTTGAAGAGAGTCTGCATCTGAACCTGTCTCTTATACACATCTAGATGTGTATAAGAGACAGGTGTGGAGGTGTGCTGGGATCTCTATCGTATACGACGGGCCGTCCTCTCCTCCTTTGACTTCTAGGACAGGCCACGGTCCTCTATATGCAGGTGA